ATAACTATCTTGTCAGATCCGCTTTGCGCAATCGTCTGATGCCTGAATCACTGACAAAACCCGTAGTCTGGTGCTTTATGCTTTATGCTTGAGGCTGGTACTTGACTCCAATGCTTTACGCTTTAGTCCGATGCTTTCATGCGATGCTTCATGATTTCCTCTGGTGTCGTACTCTGGTGCATTATGCCTTTTGTCCGGTGCTTTAGTATGGTGCCGTAACCTGGAGCTTCAGCCTGGTGCTTTATTCTGATGCTTTATGCTTTAATCCAATGCTTTAGTCTAGAGCTTTACGCTTTCACGTGCTACATTCTGCTTCAATCTTGTGGTTTACGCTTTCATATGGTACTTTTCTGTGGTGCTCTACGCTGTACTCCAATGCGTTCACCTGGTGCTTTACGTTTTAAAATGGTACTTTAATCTGGCGCCTTATGTTGTCGCCTGGTGCTTTGTGCTTTAGTCTTGTGCTGTATGCTTCGGTCTGGTGCTTCAGTGTGGACCGTAATCGCGAAGCCAGGCTAAAGCACCCTACTGAAACTGCCAGGCTACAGCTCCAGACTGAGACACCGAATCGAAACAAAGCCAACGTCCCATTCAGCTTCAAACCTCTTTGGGATTTGAAGATGCCGAGCGCGTAGGTTTACATTTTTTGTATTATTATTATTATATATATATATATAAAAAACATTGGCTAGCCATTTGAATGACATTGTCTGTTTTAACCCACTGCGCACTCTCGTCAAGTGCCCCGAATCGCTGACCTGTAACGCTTTCAGGCTGACCTGAATATGGTGCTGTTTCAATCTGGTGCTTTTCAGATGGGTGCTTCAACCTGGTACTATAACCCGTTTTCGTTTGTGTTTGTTCGTGTATGCGTTTGCTTGTTTTGTATCTTGGCGTTTCACCGCGGTGCCGCGATTACGACCACTTGCGTTTTCATCTGGCGCTTGAGACGTGTGCCACACTTGCGGTGAAGGTTTTTTGGTTCTTTGCTTAGAGCGGTGCTTAGCCTGATGCCACGCTTGCGGTTCAGGCTTGATGTTTTAGTCTAGCGCTTGAATCTTGTGCTTTTGCATGGTGCCACGCTAACGGCTGATAACCTCGCGTTCGCGGCTAAGACCTCCCTTCGCCAGCGTAGATCTCATAAACATCAAGCGCTGGTGCGGACCAGAGGGCGTCTCGTCATACCTGGACAGCGGGGCTACTCGAGGCTAGTGGCGAACAAGCGGCCATCTGATTCATCTTAAACAGCTGGGTTAGCCAGGAGAAGTGGCCAAGCGACGGCAATTTCCACGTGTCGGGGCAAAACGTCAGATCGGGGCAAACGGCGAACGAACTGACATACTGACATACCTCGGCTGATTATGAATCAGGCGGGGTTTCACCATGGCCACGCTTGGACGTTACTCAATGCATGAAGGGGGCCGTTGAGCGGCGAGACGTCACAACAATCAGTCCATACGCGCAGGTGAATGGGCATATCGAAGGGGAGGGATCTACATACATGCGTATCAGCTTGCACACGCACGTCTGCACATGTACTGTACAGACTTATATACAGCTGCATACATCTCTGTGTGTATCTATGTAATAAAAATCTATATGTATACGTATGCTAGAACCACGCGCGCGCTACGCGCACTTAGGTTCTAGTCGTAGATGAGCCCCGCTGTGGCCACAACGACGATTTCCAATGTTCTCGGGCCCACGCCATTGACGCAAAGAAACGCGTAGTCAGAACGCGGGGCACCACGCTCCCGCGCACCCCATAATCTCGCTGCCGCCTTGGTTTGGTTTGTCGAACTGCATTTGTTTCTTCACTTTCACTTGCACATCTGCTCGGTCTCCCCATGCCCGATCACGCAGACATCCGCCGGCTCCTGATGTTGGGGTTGGCTCGGGGCCTCGTTGCGCGCGCGTCGGAGCGCGTTGTTTTTTTTCTGTTCCTTGTGCTTCAGGCTTCTCGTTCACAGCGCCCGTTCAGCTGTCGGGTATCTGTGAAGGGCGCGCGCATCTGCCCCGGTCATAAGTGCCCTTCTCTGCAATCAGTTGTTGTCGAATCCGTCCACGGGAGTGGGGAAGATTCTTGGTGCTGGACGCCAAACCTCATGCCGGCGATAATCGCACCCGTGGGAGCAGAAGGTTCGGGCTCACGGGGATGCTCAATGACTTGACTGGCAACTCCCATGTATGGGGTTGCCTGGAACTCTGACGGGGCCTCTGGCGGCGGTGGGCGCATGCGAACGCAGCTGCTGGGGCCGTCGTTGGAGCTCCCAATGGGGCCCCGAAAAGTGTGAGGGGTGTGCCAAATACGTGTGCGGTGGGCGCATGCGAACGCAACCGCTGGGGCCGTCGGTGGAGTCCCATGTGGAGCCACGAAGCGTGTGAGGGGTGCGCGACAATGGGTGCGGTGGGCGCATGCGAACGCAGCCACTGTGGCCGTCGGTGGAGCTCCCTATGGGGCCACGAAGCGTGTGGAGGGGGTGCCGAAGTAGGTGCGCTGGGCGCATGCGAACGCAGCCGCTGGAGCTGTCGGTGGAGCTTCTCATGGGGCCGCGGGGGCCGTGTGAAGGTGTGCCAAACATGGGTGCGGCGGACGCATGCGAACGCAGCCACTGGGGCCGTGGGCGGAGCTCCTTGTGGGGCCATGGAAAGTGTAAGGGGTGTACCAATCACTTGCTCAACTTGAAACTGTCCTCTCCACTGCTCGTGCAAACATCCCACCCTCCCACCCGCAACTTGGTCGCGAGACCTCTTAAGACAAGACCGTGATGGTGGGTACCAGATGGCACTTGACCACGACACCGACGCCGACGAGGACAGCGACGACAACGACGACGGCGCCGCCGACACCGACGACGACGACACCGACGAGGTCTCCAACGACTTCGACGACGACAGCGACCACGACGACGCCGACACCGACGACGACGCCGACGACGATGACAACGACGACGACGACGCCGACGACGACGATGTCGACGACGACGACGACAACGACGTCGCCAACGAAGACGACGAGGGAGGAGGGAGGACGACGACGGCGACAACGACGACAACGACGACAAGGACGAGGGAGGAGGGAGGACGGCGACGACGCGAACGACGAAGAAGGAGGAAGGACGGCGACGCCGACGACGACGACAACGACGAGGGAGGAAGGAAGACGACGACGACGACGACGACGACGGCGACGAAATAGGAGGGACGACGACGAGACGCCGACGACGGACGACGACGACGAGGGAGGAGGAGGAAGGACGACCACGGCGACAACGACGACGGAAACGACCACGACGCCAACGAGGACGACGACGACGAACACAAGGAAAGACAGAGGACGACGTAGGCGACGACGACGACGACGCGGGAGGAGGGAGGACGGCGACGACGACGACGACGCAATAGCGCGCGCGCACGCTTTTGTTGAAAATCCGTGTTGCGAAACCTTATGTTTTTGTAGGTTTTTTGGACACACGATTTTGAAATCCTTCCGAAACCGATGGGTTTTGAAGGATTTCGGCATACGCGCGCGACGACGCGCGCGTCTGCACTTCGTCTCATTTTTTGCAAAGGATTCTCGCGACGGCACACGCGCAAGGGCGCTCGACAGATTTCGACATCCGCGCGCGAAGCCCGTTTAATAGCATTTTGGGAAAATCTTGAAACACCTATGGTTTTCATAAGATTTCGCAAGAGCTCGCGCGGAAGCTTTTTTAGCAACTCAGTGTTGCGAAACCCTCTGTTTTTGTATGTTTTTTTGGAACTTGATTGCGAAATCCTTCCAGCACCGAGGGTTTTTGAAGGATTTCGGCATGCGCGCGCGACGACGCGCGCGTGTGCACTTCGTCCCATTATTTGCAAGGGATTCGTGAACAAGTGTTATGTTAGAACAAAAAATGTCACCGCATAGTGTTTTTAACAAGGGAACCTCAGGGGGGGGATACCGCCCCCCCGGGGATAGTGTAAATTCATATCTAGGATGGACATGTGGTCATAATCATCGATGATTTACACACCCGAATGGTGAACCGATAACGCCGGGGGTGGGTAGATCCTATTCTGTTTTAAAAAAAGGAGAATCTACATGGGTGCGGTATGCGCATGCGAACGCAACCACTCGGGCCTTCGTTGGAGCACCCATATGGGGCCCCGAAACGTGTGAGGGGTGTGCCAAAGTGAAGGGAGTGACTGGAGGAGGGAGGAGGGGGAGGAGGAGGAGCGGGATGAGGAGGAGGAGAGGAGGAGAGGAAGGCAGGAGACGCGGGGCGCTGTCTCTTCAAAACGAGGGCCCAACACCGCAGGATGGTTGGGCACAAGCAGATACGTTTACTTGTCATCTCACACATTGGGCGCGAACAGGACTGTGTAATACCTCCTGGCGGCCCCTCTTGGCAGGCCCAGATGCGATGCCCGTTGCATCCCAGTGATCATGGGGATCTGAGAAAAAGGACGTTTCGCTTGAGAGGTCCTCGCAATCTGGGAACGAACGGTGTTATATCCCCCCAAGCGGCTCCCCCGTGGGAGCCACAACGATACCTGCTACGTCGCGGTGGTCATGAGGCTCTGAAGAGAGAGAGACGTCTAAAAACGGGCGTTTCGTCTGAGAGGTCCCGACACTCTGGGCGCGCACGAGTCCCTGGCGCCCCCCCCGGGGGGGATGATGGAAGCACTTCCGGAACCATAGGAGCAACTTTGAGACGAATGTGGATAAGCAAACGGCAGTGCGAGGCTGACATGTCGACAAGTCAGCACGCATGTCACCGTGGATGCCCACCAATACTGACAGAGTCATCGCGTTTGCACATACGCTTCTCTGAACGAGCTGAGGGAGCAATCTCAGTGCCTGCAGACTCCTCCTCTGTAGCCACGTGGGCCTCGATGCTGAGGGATGCCCGCAACTCCTGGCAAGCATCTTTCACCCTCGGCTGCAGACAAAGCATCGCGCGCACGAGCGAAAAGCCACAGCCTGGAGCCTCCCCTCCCATGCCGTGCCCGGGGTGCAACTCTATCATCCGACCTCCACGCCACGCTCTGTACCCATCACTCCAAGCCGTCAGGCAAGACCTCTTTCTCCAGTCGACCACCGAATGCCGCTGGGTGCACAGGGGCGCAGGTGCGAAGCGCGCGCGGCAGCGGCACCGCTCGGTGACGCCGCCGCGCGAACTGCGCGCCCGCTCGCGGCCAGCGGGGCGGAGATCAACGCCGGGACGCTGCGGCGTAGCTGTACTCCATCCAGACCGAGCCGGGCAGCTCTGGGCCGGCGGCGCCAGAGGGCGAGTCCTCGGGAGACGTCGCCGTGAAGTTGAGCCGCTCGTAGAAGGGCACCGCGCTCGAAGTGGCCAGTAAGCTTACCCTGGCACACTCGTGCCGAGGCTTCTGCTTCGCCCGCTCGATGGCCCACCGGACCAGCTGCCGGCCGAAGCCCTGGACGCGGTACCTCGACGGCACTGCGACGCGAGAGATGCTCATGGTCTTCAAGGGCGGACCCCAGAATTTGTAGATGACGAAGCCGTAGAAGTCGCGTGGCTCGGGTTGCCTCTCGCCCTGCATCGGGGACGCCAACAGGATACCCATCCGGACGCCCTCCTCGCTCAGAAGGTCAACCAGGTCGTCGTCAAACTCTTGTGGGTACAGCACCTCTACTTCAGTGAACACGGCAGCCAAATTGACATTCTCCCTGAAGTCCCGCAGCTTCAGATCTCCAACCTCGCGGGTTGACAGAACCCCCACCCTGACACGTCGATTAGATTAGTGAATTGTCCGTTTTCGGTTCTCCAGAGGGCGCCGCGGCCGTCACTTTCCAGGCTTGCGCCCGCCAGGTTTGGGCCCGAGGTCGTTTTCACAACCACGTTTTGCTAAAGGGGGTTCTGTCCATTCCCGACAACCACGTCGCCCCGCAGTGGCTCGGGCATCTCCACCTGCCGAAGCCCAGCGCCGCCCGGCAGGGCGCGCCACCGGGCCTTCACTCCAACGGCGTGGAGCAAGCACGCTGTCAACCGATCGTCCTGGCACGCCTCGTTCGAGGCACCGCTGTCCTCCTCGACGAACGAACCACACACATCCATACCCACAGGTGGGACGGAGGGGGCCATAGGTGCGTGTTGCTGGATGGGGGAACCAACTTGAGCGGGAGCCTCCCCCGCGGTCCGACAACCCGCACCCATACCCATAGCTAGTCCTCCTCCCTCCCACCCCCTATTGGTAACGGTACGGGTGTGCGTTGTTCGGTTATCCTCCTCGACGACGACAAGCAAGCCCTTGAAATCGCGAAGCACGGAACATATGCCCTTGGCCTGGAGGCTCCGGGTCCCCACGCCCAGCGCGTGCGGGGGCAGAGCGGCGAACCGCTCGAGCTCCCGCCGGAGTGTCTCCAGATCGCCGCCGGACAGAGCGCCACGGCGCAGCCCCACGTGCGTGCGGGGCTGCCACCTGCAGGGGCGATCAGAAACGGGCCCTACGCGAGATGGCATGGCGGCCTTACGCCGCGGCTTTTGCGGGCCGCTGGCGCGGCACGCCACATTGGAAGCGAGGGCGCTTGCGCGCGACCTTCCGGCGGCAACTTCCGCGCCAACGCAAATGAAAACGACCCGGCTTTTTTCGCCGCTCACCTGGATCCCCAGGTGCCCGTCAACTCAGGTTCCGAGCCTGCGCGGAAGCAGCCGATGAGCTCGGAGGCCTCATCGTGGGAGAGCCCCATAATGGACACCCTGTCTCCCATTGCCATGCTCAAAGGCGGCGATGCAGGCTCGCCGCCGTCCGTCCTGCAGAGCTGCAGGGACATCGCCTCGAGCGACTTGGCGCTCTCGAGCTCGACCTTGAGCTTCCCCATGCGCCCCGCGAGGTCGGCGAGCTCCTCCTTGCTCAGGCAGGCCTGCTTCCTGTGGGCCTTCAGCCGTCTCTCGATCTCCCTGATCTCCTGCTTGCAAGCCAACCTCTGGCGCAGCCGCTCCCTTTTTTCGTGCTGTCCGCTTTCGGCGTCGCCGGCCAAAGCCAGCAGCCCTCCGGGATCCGGCAGAGCAGGCAAGCGCCGGCCAGCTGCGGCCACCATCGCGACAAGCACGTCGCAGAGGAGATGGCAAAAAGGAACATGACCTCCTCCTGGAACGCAGGCCTGAAGTCGAAATGGCCACGGGGCCAGGCGACATCCCTGGTGCGCTAGCGAGCACTGGCAGGCGACATCTGCAGGTCACCTGGAAATCCTGGTCGCACACCTTGTGACTTGCAACGTTTACGAGGCAATGCGGCCTCAAGTGGTCTGCGAGGCACACGTGAGGTAGGCACGGGGAGTCGATGCTGCAGCCACGATGCGCAGTACTTCAGAGAAGCTGGAATGAAGCTGTGACGAATTGAAAGGTAGCTGCGGACCAACTGGGAAATAGTCGAGGGCGGCCAAGAGGGGGGCGTCCAAGAGGGGGCGCGCAAATCATGGTCGGCCTCATGTGCGCGGCCCAGGGGGGGCCAAGCACGTAATGAAATTCGACGACCCAACGGGACAGCGGC